GTAATATCAGTTTGAATTGCAGTTTCAACTTTAATTGGCACGCGAAGTAGATTTGTCAAATTAGGGATGGCATCCCTTGAATTTCTGGAACTCTGGACGCTTGTAACCAATGATCATCCCATTTTGCGGTATCTGAATGGTCGATGTGTTACTGAACCTCCGATAAGCCTATTGGAAATGCGAAACATGGTTTCACCGAGTTATCACTTTTATTGTATTCGTGACACCTTGAAACGTGTCTAGTACTCTCAGAATTGACCTTGAGAGCTACGTGAGTCATAGGAAACCTTACGTGAGGACTATAAAGGCAGAAAAATATGTGCAGCTATTTCGATTGCAGTCACGTCAGTTAGTTTTCCGAGCTGAAATTTAAAAGACTTTCAGCCAAGCTGTTGTATTGGGCATATTACTCGAGTAACCTGCTCCTACCTTAGATACTGGCGTAAAAACGCCCAACGCCGACACTATTCAAAGTGAAATGATGTCATTGAAACCGATCAACGACAACCTCTTTATCGATGTTTTTGGAGGGGACCGGTGACTCAAATGAATAACTTGTATGTGTGTCAAACGCTCTCTGCATCAGGTAGGAAGGGCTCTCTGACTGTCTGCATCAAGCTGGGTCTCTCAAACGGAGAAACAATGAAGACGTAGTGAGTTTCTACTCAAAGGATGGTGCACTGACCTCATTGCTACGCTTTTCAGGTAGCTTAACATCATAGCGCGTATAACAAGACCAATCATAGTAGCTTCCGTCGATTTATCCTGTGTGTGGTGGTTCCTAGTCTTGAACGGTGCGACAGTTTTTCCTTTACAAAAACCGGTCAACAATCCCAGGAGCTGGGTTTGGCAAACAGAAATCTGAGTTCTGAGTTCTCTGAGACTATTGAAGTCCGTCAGGATTCTCATAGCTCTTATTCCCGTGCGTCAGTTGAAACACCACTGAATATTCACTAAGGCTCCCATTTGTCCTGTGGCACACATTTTGGTTTACTGCCTCTCAAATTTAGAGTGTGCAGAGCACAAGGTTAACTTTGGATCGGATTCTTACGCTAGCTAAGCGTTGACTGAGTAACCGTGGCGTACGGTCACCTGCTTTGCGTGAATCTGCGACATCAAAGGGCAGATCAATGCTTCAATGTAGGCTGAATCACTATCAGCAGCAAATATCAATTCATTGTCTCGAGTACCTGTTTCATCTGTAGTTTTCACATCCCTACAGAGGCCGCAGGACACGTTATGAACATTTGTGCGGCTTTTCAGAAGATGCACTGCTTATGGAGACAGTGTGATGTATACTTTGTTGTTGTTGCGGACGTTTGCATCGTTGCTGTGCGACTGGTTTGCCGAATGGACCATAGATTTTACCGATGGGCACTGAAGACGTTAGCAGATTGGCAACGGCTGACCATATGTGACGTCAATCATATGACTACCATCGTAGCCTTTCAGCCAATTTTGGTGACGGAACTCCTATAATGCTTGTGTTCAAGGATCGCCTTCGACGTTTAGGGTGTGTGCGCTAAGTACTCTTATAACGACGCTCTGGCCTCTATTGTTTTCAAACATTGTGTCTGCTTGAGGGAAAGCTTGTTGTAGCTGGTCAATGGTGTGGCATGAAGAAACTCACCAGAAGATTGAAACTGGTGATTGTTTTTTGTTCTGTCGAATGAGGACCTCTTAAGTGGCCACATCCTTGGTAAATTTCCTACTGGAAACGGCATGTCTACCAGGCCCGGGGACGCTTTTACACAAATTACTTCATTCCTGACTTAAATATTACGTGCAATTACTGCATTATGTAGTCATTCTATTCGGTTTATCTACATTATTACGAAAATCAAGGCCAGTTTGTGTTACAGTCTAGCAACTGCGAAATCAGCGTCCAGTGGCTGGCTAGTAGCCGAAGCATTGAAAAACATGCGTTAGACAAATGCAGGCAGCGCACTTCCAGCCCTTACTTACTTACCTACTTACTTAATTTACTGTAGCTAACTCCTGCGACAGAATGAACCGGCTTCCTAAATGTCGTAGATTGCAGCTGCCCAAGCGCGCCGGTCAGCAGCAAGTTCCACGCAACTACTGATCTAATGGTTTCTTCAGAGACGAGAACCATGCATAACCTAGTGTCTCATAAGATCGATATCCGATTTCGCTATGGCGATCCACGTTTGCACTTCTCTACCACGGCGAACACACCAACCCTAGCTAGGCGAGGGCGAAACCATGGCCTTAGCAAAGTCAGTGTCTAGTCTGTGGTGGACATGACGGAACCCCTGATGTCTGCGGCGTTGCATGTGTACTGAGAGCTACGAAAGACCGTAAGCGCTTACGAAATTCGTCATTGGTGATACGCTCATTTCACTGCGTTTTCAAGATAAGCCTTAGCACCAATAGTCGAAGACTTCCGGCTTCCGGGTGTCTTCGGATCGCAGCGGCCATGTTTCGCAACCATAGAGTAAAATAAATCGAATGATTGCTGGGAATACTCGGATTTGCTTTCACAGACTAATTTCTGTCCTTCGCCACAGTGTATTTCTCAGTGGTAAGTAGACTGTTTTGGTGCTGTCATTACAAATCCGGATGTCGAATTTATCCTGACCGTTGGGGAGAATAATGTATCCAAGATAGTTAAATTCAGGAACAGACTCAATGCGTTGTCAATGTGAGGTGAGCGACGGGATGGACTGCGTGGCTGACGATGAGAAGTTCTTCATTTTGCTGATGTTAATTTCCAGGCCGATGATATAGGCTGATTGATCGAGTTGATTTAGCAGTTAATGTAGTGACAAAGCATTTTCTGTAAAGATAGCGATATCTTCATCAAATTCCAGGTTTGACAGCCAGAAATAAGGGCTAACTTGAACGCCATAATAGCTTTCAAGGGCATGATTCATAACCCAATCGACCGCGAAGTTGTGTAGCACTGGAGAAAGTGGACAACCCCTTTTGACTCCGGGACTGATGTCCGCTTCCTACCTAGACCCGATTCCGGGCCTTCGTGTAACGGTAGTATTAGCTCATCAAGTTAACGAGTTTAACCGGCACGCAATGGTCAAGTAGGATGCCCAAGTGTTTCAGGGTCAACTGAGTCAAAGGCAGGTCGAAAATCAGCGAAGCGGACAAACATCGGCTGCTGGAACTGGCAGTTGTGCTGGAGTACCCGAAGTAAAACTTCGGTCAGTGCAGTATCTGCCTGGACGAAATCCATCTTGATTATAGTGAGTTCGCAAACTCCCTGCATTGATATTTGACTAACCGAGCTGATCTGTGGTGTTTTCTCGAAGTTCCTATCACTCTTATTGTGTACTGAAAACAAATGGCTTACTTCTATTGACACCCTCTTCTGTGGACATAGGATGTAGGGTAGATCCATTCAACGCACCAGGTTTTAACAAACCAGTTAAGATTGGTATCAATTCCCATACCACGCTTGTAACTGAAGCACATCCAGAACAGCAACTGGGCTTGTCGCTAGCTAAGGCGAAGGCAAATTACAATGTTGCAATGTTTTTAGTTTCAAACACCGGTCGGTTTGCTATCATTGGTAATTTAATTTCTTCATGCTGCCAATTTTTGGTGTTGGATACAAAACGGTTACTTGAAATAGTGGCTTGAGCGTGCGCGGTACGAGACATTGGAGAGTTTTGGGCAATCTTCGCTGAATTTTCCGCGTCATATAGCTATCCTAATTAGTAGTATATTCTCGTAACAAGTTTTATACTGCACACAACATGAGGTGACATCGAGTTGACATTCGTCTAATTCAAGTTTGGGATATGGGACACTGACATCTCTCTATTAGAGAGGATTTTTCTCCGTGTGAATGGCCACCACGTGATTTGTTGCGAATTGGTCATTGATACCCCCACTGGGATTCAGTTTACCGCGCACTTAATTTGCCGCATTGTTTGGGAGTCTCATGCTCATTACACTCCCTTAAGCTACTCGTGTACATCAGTCATTTGCTAAGTCACTGAGCAAGAATACAATGAAGTTTAATTTTAGCGGCTGGTGACTATGATTGACTTGATAAAATATCCCGGGAGTAGACATCAGAACAAATGTTAGCTAACAAGCTCAGTTGCAGTGGTTCATCATCAGGCTAACACACTGCCAATGAATGGCATAAACGTAAACAACAGATAAGGGTACAAGTTCAGAGGTTAACACGGTCTGAGTGACCAAGCTAGGTGATCGGTCCCACAGCGATCAGTGTTGTGTGTGTGTGGTGTTATCCACACCATGTATTAGGGTTAAAGGGGGCCAAGCTTATAGTTAGGACCCGGACAAATTTCTTGTGCGCCCCAGGTTGGGGTTCTGGAGGCGAATGGCGATTGCTTCGGCCGCCACCAAAGAATGTATGACCGTCGATCAGCGCCTGACGCCTGATTTACGTTAGTAAATAATAAGTCAATGACTTACTGTCCCCTTGCATACTGTCCGATGCTTTTATGGGAAAACAGTAAAGATGAACTTCGATACCAACTTGAAGTTTGCCCTCCGGATCAACTTGCAATTTGCTCTAGTTCCACAGACGCTTTTCTGTTGGCTTGCAATCGGATAATGACCGAAGTAAGTAAAAATTAAACACTGTACTATCTCATCGGAATATAACCAAAAGTGTTTCAAAAGGCAGTACACACCAAACTCGGCATAGACACCTGGCCATTTGCTTGCGCCCACTTCCAGCCGAATAAGTGGAAGATCCGCATATCGGATTGTATGGTTCATAGGGCCTCCTATCAAGGTCTGGCTGCACATCGTTTAACTACAGAAACTTACACCAGTGTCAAACTCGTCATTCGCACCCATCGTCTTCACCGTGGCCGTTTTCTCCAGTTCCGCAGTTACATTCTTCCAATGTATCGCGTAACCGCACCCGAACCCTTGTGGCTGCATTACTACGTAGCCATACCCATTATTGCACTTCTTCTGCAAGCTGCTAGTCGCATTTCCAATTTATGCATCTGCATTCACCTTTGTTTATTTTGTTGCAGAATTTCATTGCTACCCCGCTGCACCTCCTGCGCCGTCCAATACAGATAGCGCATCACAGTTGCGTTCTCCGTTTAGGCTTAGTTCCCCGCTCACCTCAGAAACACAACCACGCAGTTCAGGCATAGTGTCCAATGTGTCATGTGATCGAAGCTCCGATGGGTCATCAACCTCACCTTCGTTACCGCCATTACTACCCACTGCTGACCATCGGTTTTTTCCTCCTCTTCAATGTACTGTGGAAAATGTTGAGCCAGCAGATCAATCGGTATTGAACGGTGCTCCCACGCTGGACACAACATCAGTTTTGAAAAGAGAACCATTATGCCCGGAAACTAACTCAAGTTTGTGGAGCTTGCAATCTATGGATGACAGGAATAAAGGCTGTGATTATCCGTACTTTTTTGAATTTGCTAATTATTCCGGCCCCGTTTCTATAAAAGCGTATTTGTGATGCCATTGTTATTGGTAAGTGCCTTTCTATACGCCTCATCCCTCATTGTCAACTCCACCGTAAATGCACTGTAGATTTACTGCTCAACATGTTGCTTACTGTTAATGATTGTATGTTAGCAACAGGCTCTTCTGGGTTGCACAACTATAAGTCCGTTACGATTTTCGTATGATACCTCAGGACTGAAGCAGGCAGATAAGCCATCACTTTCTCTTGCAAATATCCTACTCAACACACTGTAGCACACTGGTCGACATATCTACACTATACTTCGTAAAACCATCTATACTGATGTAAATCATACTACTGTGTGGTTTTCCAGTGTCAGCCCGACTGTCCCGCTGTGTACCCTCGGTGATTCGTAGACATTTGTCCCCGAAATCAGCTTTATCGCGGTCTATTTACCGTTTTAGAAGGACCACTGCAATCAACTTCTATAAGTTGTAACACCTACAGCCGGGTACACAACCAAAGGAAAGATTGCCCATTTCGACGTATTGAGAGTTTAAGAGTAGCAGTTGCTTTGTTTAGTGTGAGGCATCCAATCGTGTATCCTTACATGTGATACTCTGAATCTGAAGAGTGAGCGGATGCACTGCCTGGCTCAGCAATACATTCATGTAATCGAACCGACCGTCACTGACCCCGAATTCAAGGACGTTCGCTAGAGAGGTCGACTGACAAGTCGGACAAGTTGTCTCCTTGGGCGACAGAATTAATCTAAACAACGAAGGAGTTGAGTTCAGAGAGGTTTGGAAAAAATCGGTTGGCATAGTAGTTTGGTAATTTTTCGCCCTCGACACAAGGGCTTCGTCAGACCAGGTGAATCAGTGTGCAATTGGTGTGGGTTTTTATAGCGAACAGGGGCGATAACCGCGTTACCCGAGACTTGAGTCATGATGTCATTACAGTAACAGTTGGTGATGTCACACCAGGTGGTACGAGCACAGTAAGAATTATCCAGGGGTTCCTTTGTGCGTCATGACAATGACGGATAAGCCCATAGTGTTGACAATGGGAGTGGGTTTGCACTTTCCAATCTGATCCACGCACCGATGCTCGTCAAGCTGGCTGGCTTAAGACCGCCCGCCACAAAACAGAATTAATCCAAACAACGAAGGAGTTGCTTTGAGAGGCACACAAGATGAGTCTTTACTTATCTACTTCGAGTCGTGCTTGCGCCACGCATTTGTGCAGGTGTCTCGGTGTGCGTGTATAGCCCGGCGCTTTCAGCCAATTGGACCTCAGGCGCACTAAGTCATAGGACTGCAGCTGGGACGCTTCAGCTCCTACCAGATAAAGTGTCGGTGGCCAATGCACCATGTGGGTCTTTCTTTCTCCGTCCTAGGAAGCGATTCCCACCAATTAGAATGAGAGTAGGGATTTGAATGACGATCGGATTGGTATGACGAGCCACAGCCAAATAAGTTTGTCGTGTGATTTTGAACGTGCAGTTCATCTAAACGCAATGGTTGGCTTGTATGTTCGGCACTCGAAGGTGGTGAAGAACGTCATACTGAAAGCGTACGAGTAAGGAGACGATTGGAAGCAGGCAACTTGCACACTGAAGGTGAGCGTGAAAATTTGCCGCAAATGGATCCGGGTATACGAATCGACGGAACCATTGGGGTAGCACGCGGGAGTCCGTCGCAGAGCACTGGGAGAAAGCCACGTCAACTATCTGGTGGAGTAGGTTTCTGCGGAGTCTATCGTTACCCTTGAACCCCTTCGTCTGCAGTTGAAGACGGATTTCGAACTTTCAGTAGCTACCAACACAGCTTTACGATACTTGGACGATAGACTGATAACAATGAAGAAACTGCACATCATTCCGGAATCCATGAACACAATAGTAAACAAAAAGCGAGGCAGGTCATTCGTTTTGCAGCTCATGGATTACGAGGTAAAAGGACGGCAACCGATGTCGATTAACGTGACCAACTTCAATTTATTTCGCTCCCGCAATCGTGGCCGCTCACGACTTAGTAGTCGAGCGCAGTGTCCAGTGGCGAACAGCCAGGGACCGAATGTTCATCTTGTTGGCGCCATGACAAACAGCGGTTTGATAGCGTGTTCGGTTCTGAGAGGAAGTTACAACAAGCAAAGTTGCGCTCAGTGGCTGCGACAAGTGCTTGATACCAACGGAGCTGGGTTTGTGGAAAGGTGTCTTTTAATTTGTGACAACGCGCCCTCTCACACTCACCTGGAGCACGTTTTGCTGGAATAACCGTACCGCTCTGGGCGACTTCTTCGCCTTGCGCCATACTCTCCAGCTTTCAATGTCATCGAAGGTATCTGGGGTATAATAAAGGCTCAAGTAAAACAGGCAATGAGGGGACCGTACTCCGAGATGCTCCTGGGGGATCCTGAATACGTTTTGAATAAAGCCAGTGGCGGATTCGCTTATTCGAACACGTGGTGTCTGAAGCACGGGCCTTAGTGACGCAGCAGCACTGCGAAATAATGGTTCAGCATGTTAGTAAGAAGTATTAACGTGTTGTTCATTTGGCCCACTTGTAAAACATTCAGTTGGCAGTAAAATACCTGTTCTAAGCGAGTGTTGTTCTTACTTTATTATGATGACGCGTCAGAGTGCACTTTATCTCCTGCTAGAAATAGCCGGTTCTCTATTCGGGGGAACATCATGGATTTCATGTAAGTTGGTACGTGTGGTCGCGTCGCATACCCGTTTTAGTTGCCGCGTTGTAGAACAAGCATGTGAGAGCTTGACAACTAGATGCCACTGTAACACGGTTGCGTGGCAAGCAATCATGTTCTGTTGCCTGTCGTTGATTGTGTTTGGAGAGCCATAATAAACAAGAAATTGAATTATGCAGACTTGGCGGACATGGGTAGTGTACGTGGCCGTTTGCCGCATTGCTTAACCCATTAGACCAAAGCAGGCGGCTGGACTCTGTGTGCGGAGACGCAGAGCATGTAGGACAAGCACAACTAACGTTTATCACCCTCTCTAGGGAAATATTTCCCGAGGTGTATTCGTCAGTTGTGGACTGTATTCGAGCAAACCACAGGGTTGCGGTGAGAGGATGCTTTGAAGCTGCAGATAAAATGTACTCACTTCGGCGAATCACACTTACTCATCAGATTGTAGCGCCGGCACAGGGATGAGTGGTTCCGCATGACGCAAACCAGTCCGTGCGTGCGTATGGTATTTGCCATTTACAAGCGAAAGTTGCCATTTCGCTCCATCCCAATTCTACGTGGGTAAATGGTGCGGTTATGGCCGGACATCTGTTACAATCATACCTTGTGCGTGTTATAGTCATCCATCCACACACCTCAGGCTCCGTCCTCCATCGCCATCTCTGACTACACCGTACCGCTAACCACGAGATATAAATCAGGCGCGTTGTCCATCCACCTCCGACTCCTAGTACGTGGTCGATATGAAACTGTTCAGTTGCCTACCAATTGTCTGTTTCGCCTTTCATTCCCCTGGGTCTTTGACGACCCAGTGTACGCCCGGATACGGAAGCCCTGGCTACTCTGGACATGAGGTATATTACATTAGGCGAACGATCTGTCGGAACTTAGTTCCAGTGTTGTTCGCGGGAAAATGAGCGGTTACCTTACGTCCTTAATTGCTATCGGCTAAAATTTCGCATGGTTTACTGGCACATTCAACCAGGCGCTTTTCATCAGGAACGTCATCTACATCGTTGTTAACCTGGTGATGCAGCTCCGATGTAAGCGGTTTGGTTTTCAGTGCACTCGGTCTGAGTTTGGATGAGCAACTATCGGTGCTTGAGGTATGTTGTCGTTCCTGGACTCACAATACGTGATGGTGCTTAATGACTGGGATTCCTAGTACGTAGACGACGTGATGACTACTCCGCTCTGAGTACATCCAATTGTTTCGCTTGGAGAGGCGCAGTATTGGAACGCGTGGGCGGTCCGCCCAGGGTGGCACGTGACACGGGCCGCCTTTTTATTACCGTCGTATGTTGGATACCAAATAAAAAGGACAAATTATCCATGGGTTGAATATTTTAATGCTACTATATGATCAACAACGCATTTGCGCCACGTGTCGAATTTGTGCAAAGGTTCTTCACAGTGATCCTCTTATTTGTTCTATAGCGCTCACTTTCAACACATCCACCTCAAGGTCCCAAGAGCATATTAGTTTGCATCGTAAACTAGTGTGCTCTTTACCGATCCTTTGGCCTTCACGCGCCTATGCTGCCCTCAGTAAGAGTGATAATGTTACCACCCCCTCGAGTGGCGAAAGTAGTTGACACTATCCACAGTGCCAAGCGGCCCATCAACGGACGGTATGTTCGTAGGCTGGTGAGAAACTTTGAAAATACTGGGATCGTGTGTGACGCCAAGAAGACAGGGCGACCTCGCATCACCACGGATGACTTTTCCGCTTGTATGGTTATTCGTGAGATGTCCAGAAGCTGCGAGCTGAGCAACCATAAATTCGCCCAGCATTGCGACACCACCAGATATGCTGTCCATAGGATTTTGAAGGAAAGGAAATTCCGGAAGTATAGCGCCGATGGAGTGCAGGTTTGTAACCCATGTGATTCGGCAAAGCGGCTTCATTTTTGCCGCAGGTTTTTGGGTATCATGGACATCCATTCAATATTTTTACCGATGAGGCTGTTTCCGTTTGCACGGTGCGGGGAAGCAACAGTTTTGAGCAATGTGTAATCCCCGCCGATGCAACGCTTCACATATACAACATGGCGCAAAGCTCATGGCATGGGCTGGGCTAACTGGCTAAAGATTCGTGGGACCATTTTACTTTTCCGGTAATGTGAAAGGTAGGTAGTTGTTTCGCAGTACTAGTACGTTAGGCGTTCTGGCATCCTCGTACAAGGAATTACTGAAAATTGGTGTCATTCCGGAATTGGAAGCAGC